TTTAAGGAATACATTACGGCGACGCTAGCAACTTTGTTACTTAGGTTGGAATAAATTGAGACCCCCCCTAAATGAAACAAGTCGGGTGTCGGCTTCCTCGAAGCCGGAAAAAGGGCGGGGCCCTCCTGCATCCGTACAGGCCGGTAGCTAGCGCGGCACGTGTGACAATTGATGGGTAGTGTCACCGCTGTGGGAGATGTGCTTTGTTGCAGCAGTGCTGATGGTGTGGGAGCTAAGCTTGCACCGGCGGAATCGTCAGCACCGCCTGCGGGCTCCACGCGAATCGCATCCATCCCGGGTGCATGCCGCATGGACAGTGCGGCAGACCGCAAGTGTGATGTTTATCCCCGATGCGCCAGCGGCCTCAGCAATCTGCCCCACAGCCGCGAGCTTCATCGGGGCACACCGCAAGTCTCCGGAGGCCCCGTATGTACAAACAAGGAGCTTGTGTATTTCATAGAGAAATGAAAGCAAATTATGTTGGCCTGCTGGTGGCAAGTCGGATTGCCCATGCCGGCAAATGGTAACACAAGCTGGGTGTTCAAGTTATCATACGCCGTCATCTCAGAATTCCATTGTGAGATACGCGGCAGCTTTTGGGATGAAATTTAGCGCGAGAGGCGTCGATGTGGCTTTTGAGGTCGGTGAATGGAGGCAGCTAAACTTGTTTGTGCTCATACGGTCTTTGTTAGCTACATGCGAGATACCTTGCAATAGAGAATGCTGTATAGTACCGATAACGCGTTTCAGCCGGGTGAAACATTCTGTTTGGTCCGTTACACACTCAAGGCCTGGGAGTTCGAGTTATCATACGCCGTCATCTAAGAATTCAAATATGAGATACGCGGTACCTTTTGAGATGAAATTTAGCGCGAGAGGCGTTGATGTGACTTTGGCCTCGGTCAATTGAGGCAGCCAAACTTGTTTGTGCTCATACGATTTTTGTTGGCTACATGCGAGATACCTTGCGATAGAGAATGCTGTATAGTACCTATAACGAGTTTCAGGCGGGCGAGATATTATGTTTGGTCCGTTACACACACACACACACACACACACACACACACACACACACACACACACACACACGGACATGGGCAATCCTACAGGTCGGGGCCCCCCTGGGCGCTTCGCGCTGGGGCCCCGCCCAAAAAAATCACTGCCCTTGGGTGTCCCTTTGGTGTCCCTTGGGTGTCTCTTCCATGTCCCTTGGGTTTCTCTTCCATGTCCCTTGGGTGTCCCTTGGGCGTCCCTTTGGTGCCCTTGGGTGCCCCTGGTTATCCCTCCCGTGCCCCTTGGGTGCCCCTTGGGTGCCCCTTGGGCGTTCCTTGGATGTCCCTTTGGTGTCACTTGCAAGGGACACCCAATTGGGTGTCCCTTCCATGTCCCTTTGGTGTCTCTTCCATGTCCTTTTGGTGTCGCTTCCCTGTCTTTTGGGTGTCCCTTGGGTGTCCCTTGGGTGTCCCTTGAGTGCCGGAGACCGAATTTACCAAAACCTTCATTGACAGCTGCACCTGGCTAATTATTAACCACCAAGCGTCCCCTTGGTGCCCCTTGGTTGCAGAATGCTCAGTCAGGATGCAGTGGAGGGTCGAGCACAGGATACGGATAGGAAGGAGAAGGATAGAAATGAGGACCCAGGAAGAGTCAACACCAACCCACCAAGGATGAGGATGGCAGAGGATTAGGGGATCCCCTCGAGATGGGAACTTCCTAACAAACTAACATGGGCACCCCATCAACCGTGAGGCGCCACCAAACCTCTTTTTGTTCATTCTCCTAACGTAAATGAGACCATAAACGACGGAAGGTTCGTTGCAAAAAAAGAATAGCCTTACCCAGTGCCTCAGAAGAGCCCGTCGCCTCTTTAATGAAGAGGGTGTGGGCTACTCGGCGAGCCACAGAAAGTGGCGAAAGTTGCATATTAGTCGCTAATTTAACGGATAGATCTTGAAGTCTGATTTGGCTCCAGTGTTGGTTCGGAGCCATAACTTGCCCTAGTACAGCAAAGAGGTCAAGCGGATCATGGGGGGCAACAACAGCGCATGCATTGCCGACCAGATAAAGCAGGGTGGCCCTTTCATACCCTTCGCACTAAGCAAGGAAACCAACTGATGAGTGTGCATAAGGACGTGAGATAGGTACCTGCTGGTAAAATGCAAGCAATAGCGATCGCTCGTACCCCCTTTTCTCTCCCCTTTCCGACTAGTGTGGTTGATCTCGTTGTGAGATCCAGGGGAGAGTTCAAAAGGGTGGCCACCATGGGGGCCGGGAGTTACTCGGAGAGCTCAGGTTGGCAGCAGCACCTGGTTTATTGAGATACGTGTATGGAACCGTACGGAACCGTACATCGGACCGTACATGTAAGAAGGGTTCAGCTCCCTTGGCATCTCCCTGAGTATTCTTTGCCTGGTGTTGCAGTACGGAACTGGATCCGGGGCTGGGGTCAGAGCCGTGCCGGGGCGGGGGCGGGGGATCCCTTCTCTTGAGCGGATGAGAAATGTTTGTTTGATTAGCTGGTATATACACACACCGCGCCTGTGGGACATGTACATGGGCGGGCTCTACAGCTGCAGCCCTGCATGAGAGGGCAGGCAGGCAAGGCATGTTTTGGTGAGGCAATGTTTACAATTGCGCACTCGCAAGTGATTGGTGGACATGTATGTTTGCATGTGTAGACAGGCGAGACGGGCATATGTGCTCACATAGACGGATGGGATAGCTGTGCATGCACTGTAGGCAGGTGAGACAGGGACGTCCTACAAGCCATTGACACCAGCACATGGCCCCGCCGGTTCGGTCGAGGAGCACTTGTAAACATGGGTTACCCTGTTTGTTACCCCTTGGCAGTGTATTACCCCGACCCCTTTGTTACCCCGGAGTTAGGTTACCCACCTCTCTTCGTACAAAGCCAAATGGGTAACCACTTACCAGTAACCCTACCCCCTGGGTTATGCTTAAGGGCGGGGGTTACCCCCCGTTTTATGCAATAGGGTTGGGGCCGGGAGTGGGCAAGTGTCTTCGTTTGTGCACAAACGAAGCCGGTTGCACGTGCAACCGGCTTGTATATATTTACGGACGCACAGCGGGACCTCGCCCTGTTTCCAGCGTACTTGCTGAAATCGACACTGTAATTGCCACATGCACATGCACGTCCATCTCAAAGTGAGCCGCATGGCCGCAAATGCTTATCGGCAGCTTCTCGGGCGGATTACGTGCGTACTTACAATGAGCGCACTTTTGTCCACCTCTATCTGACTTGTCAGCGAAAAAGAACAAAACATTACCATAGATATACGGTTGGAAAAGTGTGTGAAAAATGGATTCGCTTAAAAAATATTTCCTAAACCATGCTAATTCGCACGGTTAGATGCGTTGACGGACGAAAACCAGCGCCATGCGCATCCTGCCAGTGCCTTCGTTAATCTATCGCTACTAATTACCAGCAGCCGCCGTTATACTTATGTACAGAAAGTCAGCCGTAAAGTAAAGAAAAAAATCGCAAGCTAAGCACCGAATCAGGCGTCCAAACTGATCATGAGGCCCTAATGCGGCACATACAGTCGGAACATAAACACGGAAGCTTTGGTCTGAACCCGGACATACCTACCACGCATGTTAAAGTGAACACATGGGCCTCTGGATTGATGCAGGTGGCCTTCGGAAATGCATAAGAACCAGATCCTGTTGCTGGCACGACAGGTTAAGCTCGGGCACTAATTAGGGCCCTTGTAACTTTTAATTTTCGCCAATTTTAACGTTCGCCGACTTCCATGTGTTGCTGCATATGTACGAGCCCAACCGTGCACCGCTCATTATTAAACATACGCATGGCATACTTCAATGGGCACAACAAACAGAAGCCCCATAATCCCTAAGGGGTCTTCCGTACCGACAGTGCGGGCATATATACATGCGGCTCTACGAGCCGGATCAAAGCATGCCTGTCCATTATATGTCAACCAATCTCGTGCTGTAAAACATTCCAGGCTCGTGCCGGCGTATGCAAAGCAGGCAAGCTCAGCTACTACATGAGAGATACGGAACGGAGGAAGCTAACTATAAGCATGCGTTAAGCGTGCGTGGACAAACCGCTCCACGCCTTCACGCACGCTTGATGAATTGGAGATGCCTGCTCGCCAGCAAGGGACATATTCACGGAGTCGGTGTCTGCCAGCAGCAGCAAGACGGCATGGTTTCAGTTCATTGGTGCGCACCACTGACACCTTGCGGTTAAACATCCTTCACGTACAGACACGACCCTGGAGCTGCTGTCTGGGGCGTGGCGCTCCTCTTGACCCAGCCGGCGGTGTTGAAGGCCTTGCAGCTGGGATCATTGTTGCAGGTGGCCAGCGCATTGGCCCCAAAGTTTCCGATGTCGTCACCGTAGCGATCCACGTCTGGCTTGGAAGTGTATCCAGGATACTGCTGGCACACAGTATCTGCCGTATGGATGCAGAAGGAGTAATAAATTAGTGACGTTCATGCTAGCAAACCCTGCATGCATGTATATGTTATACCCAATCATGCATTCAGGCATTCCAGCATGAATCACATTACTGCACGCAAGCATATTTGTTGTCCACGCAAGCGTGCAATGGTTCACCATGAATCAAGACTACAAAAGCCTTGGATGTTTTGCATCATAACATGTGTATGTCAACGTAATGCAAGCAACAGACGGACGTGGAGCCGCGCGCCCGCCCCTGCGCTATGTTTCGGCCTGGTTTCGGCCCGGTCAGGGCCCCCGGTGCTCGTCCTTCGCAGGGCGAGGCCCCCACAGCAGTGTAACACCACGTCAACAGTGTCTGTAATAAGTCCTTCCTTGTTTATATATCGTGCCTTAGTATAGTAGATAGGGACGGTCCCTATCTGACATATCAGTACGGCATGATCTATGAACGATAAAAAAATACAGACTGGACATGCAGCTGCAGCCTGCATGGTTCTGTAGTAGCTGCCAGGCCTCTCGGATTGTGCTCTAGCGCGTACCGTAGTGCTACTTATAGTTCGTGCTACAATAATTCGGGAGGGACCACGAATATGTAGCACGTACAAATTCGAAGGTATCCCAAGGGACCGCAGCCCCGAAACATCGTACCCTCCGAAGCCGGTCGATCAAACTTCGCAAAAAATAGGATTTCAAGGTGGAAATCAGCTTTTAAATACATAAAATATAGTCATAAACGTAGGACATGAACAACGCTGGAAAACGTTCAAGACAGGCAACCCTGCTTCAATGCGGGATGAAACCGCTAGCACCAAACGCTCCGGTGAGCGACCGAGCTGGATTTGCACCAGTTAGGCTTGATGATGCTGTTGTGAGGCCCAGCGTGAGCGAATGGAGCACGAGGAGGTTGCTAGGCGCGAGCGCAATGCGGTCCATGCTACGGCAGCCGGCGAGGCGAGGCTTGCGCTCACGCCGCAGCCTGGCATTCGACCTGTTGGACGTCCTCTTCAACAAATCCGCGGTCAACCATGGCTCGGCTGCAGTTCGCACTGGCCACTGGTACTGAACTGTACGATCGGTCCAGAATTTGCTAGGGCGTTTCCAAAGTGCGAAAATGGTGAGAGACCATGAGCCTAAGGGTTCCCGGTGGAGGGAGACTGACTGGAAGCTGCAGTTTGAAAAGCCCCGAAACTTTGGAAGGGGCCCTGAAATTTGTATCATGCCCGCAAAATCTGGTCCGGCCTTCCCCGAAATTCAAAGAGCACGTACAAATTTCAGAAAGGTTTTTGACCCCTCCCCGAACAAAGCGATCACGAACTATAAGTAGCACTACGGTATATTGTATTAATGGTGTGCGCCGTACTGTATGACAGCTACAGGTTCTCATCTCTCGTTTGACCCACGCACGGCTGGATTATTAGGGGTCAAAGACTTTGCCAAGGATTATAATTAGAAAGGTCCCCATACTAATTGCCACCACGAATCCATGCATCTAGACACGTACTTTTCACGTATAGGCACGACCCCAGAGCTGCTGTCTGGGGCGTGGCGCTCCTCTTGACCCAGCCGGCGGTGTTGAAGGCTTTGCAGCTGGGATTACTGTTGCAGGTGGCCAGTGCATTGGCCCCAAAGTTTCCGATGTCGTCACCGTAGCGATCCACGTCTGGCTTGGAGGTGTATCCAGGATACTGCTGGCACACAGTCACTGGATGCAGAAAGAAGAAGGGATTGGATCATGCACGTCACATGCATCCATGCATCCATGCAGACATACATAAGCACTTCAGCGCGTCGCTGAAACGATTTGCACGCAGACATACCGAAAGGGCTTCAGACACAATGAATGTGTCAAAAGTGCAACCATAATATTCCTGGAAGATGTCAGGATTGATCGCGACAATGAACGGGTCAAGATTCCTCAACCGTATGAGAGCGGAAGCATCCTCATGCCGATAGACGGTGATAGTAGACCCAGTCATAATGACACACCTGAAAGCTAGCCAAGACTGGAGTTTACGCCGCCCTCAACCCGGCAGATTCCACTAGTGATGGGTGCTGAACCCGGAAATGCCACTGACTTCACAGAAGTCGGCATGTGTGGGGAGGATGAGGGTGGCCCCAAACATCGGGGAAGGTAGCTAGGGACTGCCAGGCTAGTGGCCAAGGGTGATGCTGGACCCCCCTACTTGTCATCACACAAACATACCGATCGTCACCATTCCCCTGCATGAACGTACCCTTCTTCACGTACAGACACGACCCTGGAGCAGCTGTCTGGGGCGTGGCGCTCCTCTTGACCCAGCCGGCGGTGTTGAAGGCCTTGCAGCTGGGATCACCGCTGCACTGGGCCAGCGCATTGGCCCCGAAGTTTCCGATATCGTCACCGTACCGATCCACGTTCGGGATTGAGGTGTATCCAGCATACTGTTCGCACACTGCAGAGCAGGGTAACAGAGGTCATAGGCAGCAGGTAGCTTGATTGCATTCATGGTATGGTGTAACATCCCGGGCATATATCTGTCCCCATTGTTGTGGATTTCAACATCAGCGTGTGCACGAGTAGTCCTTTTCTGATAAGACAGGATTGAAGATACGATGTGTTGACAGAGGGGTATGGCTGCATTTGTGGTGTGTTTTCTGAGTGAAACGAAATGAAACCAAGGTTTAATGTGTGTTTACCGAGAGCGAACTCGGTCGAATGGCGTTGGTGTGTACGGCATGGCCGTACGGGGCTAGTATGAGTTGCAGGAGTGCGACGGAAAGGGTTATTTTCGCAAGTTCATGTTGTCAGGTTTCCGTTGCGGCTTCTGCCTAACCTACAGCTAGTATCCGGAAGCAGAGTCGCAATCGGTAACCAGGCTCACCTACTCTTTATGGAAGCAAGCACACGCTGTCCTGCTTGTTCGTACGATCTCTAAGCGATAAGGCAACTAACTACTCACGAAAGCGAGCCCTCGTAATGCCTAGTGTACTTATAGGGACGATATACACCCAGGGCGCGAGCTATAGACGAGCAATAATTTTACAGGCCAGGCTTCGAGGAACAAACAGTGTCTGACTGCAGTAGCTGTGGTATAGTACGGCGGCGCACAAAACAGCAATAAACAAGTGCTAAGTCTGTGAAATACTTGAGCGTCTACAAATTGCGGCCTGGTATATTAGATTGGGACCGTCTATTCTGTTATACCAGGGTGCCATCTATAGACAATCATAACATTCACAGACGTTACGCGATCCGCAAGCATCTTGAGAGGCTGGTTGCACTCTCAGCAACCAGCCAGCTACTGCAATAAAGGCGTCATCACATTTACTTTGCTATCAATCTCCTTATGCGGCTTATGCGGCTTATGCGGCTAGTGAGCGATCGAGGTTAACCTTAAGGTTTGAAGGCACGCAAATGTGTTGATTGGCTGAGTCCTTCGAGATAGCTTACTACCCAGGCAAGGTAAGTAGCCTGCTCATTACATTTGCGTGAACCAGTTCAGTACCGCACTCAATTGTCGTAGTTTATACAGATGCATGCATGCATATTGCTAGCTGACCAGGAACTAAGTTGATGCGCCGTTGATCCGCTAGATTTGGTTGGATGCTGGTGGTGAGTTGCTGAACCCAACGAATACATTCTGAAGTCGGATGGGGTGAACGGTTTAGGGTGCCCCTCTAGCAGGGGAGAGCAGGAAACTGCCTCGGGAAAGGGGGCCGCTGGTGAAGCTTTACCACCCTGTAACAACATACATATTCGTACTTATCACGTACCTTTCACGTATAGGCACGACCCCAGAGCTGCTGTCTGGGGCGTGGCGCTCCTCTTGACCCAGCCGGCGGTGTTAAAGGCTTTGCAGCTGGGATTACTGTTGCAGGTGGCCAGCGCATTGGCCCCAAAGTTTCCGATGTCGTCACCGTAGCGATCCACGTCTGGCTTGGAGATGTATCCATAATACTGCTGGCACACAGTCGCTGGATGCAGAAAGAAGAAGGGATTGGATCATGCAGGTCACACCCACACATACATGAAAATGTACATATGCGCACTTCAGCGTGTCGCTGGTTTGCACACAAACATACCGATCGTCACCATTCCCCTGCATGAACGTACCCTTCTTCACGTACAGACACGACCCTGGAGCAGCTGTCTGGGGCGTGGCGCTCCTCTTGACCCAGCCGGCGGTGTTGAAGGCCTTGCAGCTGGGATCACCGCTGCACTGGGCCAGCGCATTGGCCCCGAAGTTTCCGATATCGTCACCGTACCGATCCACGTTCGGGATTGAGGTGTATCCAGCATACTGTTCGCACACTGCAGAGCAGGGTAACAGAGGTCATAGGCAGCAGGTAGCTTGATTGCATTCATGGTATGGTGTAACATCCCGGGCATATATCTGTCCCCATTGTTGTGGATCTCAACATCAGCGTGTGCACAAGTAGTCTTTTTCTGGTAAGGCAGGATTGAAGATACGATGTGCTTACAGAGGGGTATGGCTGCATTTGTGGTGTGTTTTCTGAGTGAAACGAAATTAAACCAAGGTTTAATGTGTGTTTACCGAGAGCGAACTCGGTCGAATGGCCGTACTGGGCTAGTTATGTCGCAGAAGTGTGACGGAAGGTGTTATTTTCGCAAGTTCATGTTGTCAGGTTTTCGTTGCGGCTTCTGCCTAACCTACAGCTAGTATCCGGAAGCAGAGTCGCAAACATGCCGTCCTGCTTCTCCTTACGATCCCTAAGCGGTAAGGCAACTAACGAAAGCGAGCCCTCGTAATGCCTAGTGTACTTATAGGGACGTTATACACCCAGGGCGCGAGCAATAGACGAGCAATAATTTACAGACGAGGCTTCGAGGAACGAACAGTGTCTGACTGCAGTAGCTGTGGTATAGTACGGCGGCGCACACAACAGCAATAAACAAGCGAACTACTAGTAAAGCGATCCGCAAGCATCTTGAGAGGCTGGTTGCACTCTCAGCAACCAGCCAGCTACTGCAATAAAGGCTCATCACATTTACTTTGCTATCAATCTCCTTTTGCGTCTTATGCGGCTTATGCGGCTAGTGAGCGATCGAGGTTAACCTTAAGGTTTGAATGCATGCAAATGTGTTGATTGGCTGAGTCCTTCGAGATAGCTTACTACCCAGGCAAGGTAAGTAGCCTGCTCATTACATTTGCGTGAACCAGTAAGTACCGCACTCAATTGTCGTGGTATATACAGATGCATGCATGCATATTCGTACTTATCACGTACCTTTCACGTACAGACACGACCCTGGAGCAGCTGTCTGGGGCGTGGCGCTCCTCTTGACCCAGCCGGCGGTGTTGAAGGCTTTGCAGCTGGGATTACTGTTGCAGGTGGCCAGTGCATTGGCCCCAAAGTTTCCGATGTCATCACCGTAGCGATCGACGTCTGGCTTGGAGATGTATCCAGGATACTGCTGGCACACTGCAGGGTAGGGTAACAGATCGGGGGTCCGGGAATAGGGCAGTGGGGCGGGAGGCGGATGACAAAGGAGACAAGGGGACTGGGATAGGACGAAGATGGGCGGGCAACTGGGCTGGGAAGGGTTTGAGGGGGATTGGGGTTTGTGTACGACAGAATCAATTCCGCCAGGAAATCACGTATACACGGCCTTACTGTAAGTTGAAAACAGCAGGTGCAGACTCATGTACGTGTTAAAAGTTCTTTTGGACCAATAGCTAGTGGATTGACAACAGCGAAAACCTTTGCCGTAAGCAATTACCGACTCGCCTATCTATCTGCATGCTGCTTCTTATAATGCAGCGGAAGAGATTTATATGCATTTCCTTGTAGCTCTAATGTACGACACCCACTTTGCGCCTCATCACGTACCAGTCGCAGCGAGGCTGCCGGGCGGCGCTACGACCACCACCAGCGAAAGAATCGTGAAGCAAGCGGATAGCACCACAGTGGCAGTCCTCCTGCATGCCAGGCGGATGGTTTTGAAGCACTGGTAAGGTCATCTCTCGTGATATCACTGGGACAGGACGTACTTCGAAACATTGGTTGACAATTTTTATGGATCTTACCGTCACGGTATGAAATTATAACGGAAAGCGATCCATACAGTTAGCGATTGCGATTCGTAATTTCTACACCGCGTCGCTACTGGGATTAAGCTTTTAATAACTTAATCTGTTCTAAGGGTGTAAATATAGCTTACTGCACAGAGTGCAACGGCACGGGAACAGCAGCAGTGAGCAAAGCATGCATTTCGGCGAGCATGGATTTGCAGACTTTGCTTCGTCAGCAGTTACCCAACAGCAGCCAGCACTTAATATCCAGCCCGATTCTCTTATCAGCAGCGCCCTGGCCCCTGCTGCTGCTGCTGCTGCTGCAGAACCAAGGCAACCTATCTATTATTATTGCCGAGCCGCCGAAATGCTCCACCTTGCAATATGAATACCTTACCTCATTTCGTGAGATCTCGGATAAAGTGCAGCGATACGTAATGCTCCGTGCAACGGGACGTATTCACTGCTGTTCTAGGACGGAGGCTTACGTGCAGTAGTAACAGTCGTTAGAACGACGCGACGGTACAGTGGGATTCCGCTGATTGCTGATGGGCACGCACATACAATATTTAGATGGATTGGGGTACTCCAACAAATGTTTCATACAGGTGCTGAGGGGACGATTGCTTTTTATACTACTAGGAGCTATCTGTTGCACATCGATACGCATCCCTGTACGATACACACGTGTCCCGTGAGCAGTCCCCCAGAAGCGACGACGAAGGTGCAGAGCCCGCCTTGAATCCAATATGGCAACGACACAACGCACATGATTTGTACTAGAAGTTAAGAAAGTGTGGAAGGGCTCGCTGGTCGTCGAAGGCCTTATGATAGTGGTGCCCGTGCTTTCAGTATTCGTATCGATCCGCCTGTGTGAGCCCGTTGACCTCGGCCTGCCCTGGATTATTGAGGTTTCCGTGGCGTGGCATGAGAACTTGAAATTACGTAGTAGTTCGACTGTTTTTGAAAGGCGTGGCGGGATTTTGAGAACTGAAGTTACACATATGCACAAGCTAGGTGATTTCGTTATTGCTGGGTTCGCCCATCGCACGCATGCATGAAGGACGATAGATTCAAGGAAGGGCACATGAGCAGAGGCAGCAAGGAGTGGACGCACGAGCACTCGCGCTGCTGGGAAACTCAATGCATCAACCGTTCGATGTCACAGAAATCTGTTCGCTTGCTCGACTTCCTGGAAATGAAGTGTTTACGGTTGGGAGTTTGTAACAGCTATGTTGGGAGTTTGTATGCAGCTATGTTAGTAGCTGCTGAGCAACTTGCCCAAAGCTCAGAACCTCTTGTTTATTTTCCTGTATACCTGGCATTTTGTATTTCGCTTTTACGTGTGACACGAAATATTCGCCACGTCAGTACCTGCTACCTGACGTCAGATAATGTTCGTAGGCGTCAACTAACATGACCAAATGGCGCACTTGAAAGGGAAACAACGATGTTCAATTTTCAAATGAGAAATAGCGTTGAAATAATGCATGCATGAAACGTTAGAGATTTCTCTCGACATGTACGATGTCTAGCATCGCTCAATGCTATTTGTTCTCTGAAGCCGCAAGCAAGTGAATCTGGCGTAGTTGGCTATTGTGACGCGGATCTGGCAGAATCCGAGGGTTCGTGATCTGCCCTTGGGTACGTCTTCGTTATGGGAGGTGGCGTGATTTCGTGGGCGAGTAAGCTTCAACCCACGGTTGCCACATCTGCCGACCTCTCGATGTGCGTGAGGTGTTGAGTTAGGAGCAGTGATCTTTTCCCTTACGGAAGGAGCCATTTGTCGAGTTATTGTTGACTTTTGGGGCCGCCTTCAGGGTTTCGCAGCTGTGGGAATTCCACGGAAAGGTTGGGATTCTGTTGGCGCACATCACCCCTTCTTGCGAATTGTATCAGGCAAATTGTTATGCTCACGGGAGCGGTCACCGATGGACGATTAGCTATCACCATTTTTTTATTCTCTTGTTTGGAGGACTTTCCAGGCTCAGGCCTATTTCGATAATAATTGGGGGTCCTCAGCCTTCCCTTTCCTCGCGGTTTGACTGTCTAATTGCGTTTAGTTGTCTCATCTGGGTGATTGTCTAATTTGTATGTGAGTCTCTAGTGCAGTGCACTGCCAGCTGGCCCAATGGCTCTACTCTTCGTGAGTCTGGAGCCCACTGTAACAACCACACACACACATCTACTGGAAACGCTGAGTATATGGCTGCGGCGGCTGCCATCGAGGAAGCTCTGTGGCTGCGCCATTTGCTGCGTGCTTTGGTCGTCAGGTCACCACACTTTCCTTTCTTATTGTATTGGTCGCGGGGGGCCCTTTTCTTAAGTCGTGCAATTTAAGGTGCATCCGAGTAAGGTAACATCTTCAGTGGTTCACCGCAGGGCACCTAGGAGCATGGACTTCCTTGTGCGCGAAGTTTCCAACTGCGTGGGAGCTGAGTGTGTGGGAGCTCCTCTTCTATTTGCGTGGGAGTTTCCATTCGTAATGCTCCATTTTTTTCAGTCACCACCGCTGTGCGTAAGCGTAACAGCTGAGTCTTGTGTGATATTTTGGTTGAAGCGTTCCTTAAAAGTTAAACGTAGTTCCGTACTAAGTCTGTCAGACTTCCCTTACTAAAACGGGCATTGCCTAAAAGTAGGAGTCAGGCTGAGCGTTTGATATCCTGGTTGTGGTAGGTTTATGTTCCCGCGCGCGCGGGCGAACGTTAGAGATTTCTCTCGACGTGTACGATGTCTAGCATCGTTCAGTGCTATTTGTTCTCTGAAGCAGCATTGCTTCTTTAAGCAGCCCCTCGCACAAATGTGTCCGGTCGTACTATGCCGAATAAAACATCCGTACAAGACGCGAAAGCCAGGCGCGAAATTTACCGTGCGGATGCGCGCGTGCAATTCCCAAAATGCGCCTGTAAAAGTGTATGTAATTTTTTCGGCGAAAGGCCGCTCATCAGGGCATGTTGGCATCAGTCACAAGCGGCATGCATCTCGGACTTTTGGCTGGCTGCTTAGCCTGAGCTGAAAAAGATATGAAAGCAAACAACGTAGCTTGCAAGACTGGGCGCTTGAAACGGCCGCGGGAAGAGGAAGCGTTTGGCGAAGCGGCAGTTTGCGCAAGCAAACGAGGTGCGCCAGCGCGTTGCGCAGGTGGGCACGATGGCCATAGTCACACGCGGCATGCAGCCTAGTCTATTGCGTGGCTGCTTTGCAGTAACTGAAAGCACGTCGTAGCTTGCAACACTGGGCTCGTGAAACTGCCGCGGGAAGAGGAAGCGTCTGGCGAAGAGGCAGTTGTGTGCAAGCCGCTGCAGTTGTGCGCAGCGCATACAGCACCTTGTTCCGACTAAAGTCAAATTACAAAGTTGCGCAAAGTATAACATACATAAAATTAATTAAACATAAGAACAGATAAGACATTTAGAGCCTTGTCGGTGACATGGACGCCGCTGTTGGCTTGGAACAGCTATTTGCTGTGCATAGGGACGTGCCCGCGTTAGCCGTGTTCAACAGCTCAGATTGGATTTCAGCCAACAAAGCCTCAAGAGCTGCTGCACAACCACCGGGAATGTCTTCAGTTGGGCACGTGTAGTTTTGGTCGGCGGGGTCGAGCATCGTATGCATTGCGCACAGAAACCAAGGTGCAGCGTCTCTGTAACATCGCCAACATATCCGGTACGCGGTGGCAGGCTTGCCGAGCACGACATGAAGGGGGGTCGCATCTCACCATTCAACTAAGCATGCATGTGCTCGGTTGAATGCTCGGTAGCGTGCGAGTTTACCTATCAGGATGTTTGTTTGCATATCCCTCCAAGCGAGAGGGCTTGGACCTATGCTGATGTTCGTTACAAGAATTGAACTGAGGACTGATGCTACACGTCATGTATACGCGTTGCTTAGCTTGCAACGAGACGCGCCCACGATGAAAGCTCCAGGACCCCATCTCCCCTCCCCCCCCCTCCCCCCCTCCCCCCAAAGCTTCAGCTACGCTCACAATACATTATACTGCTACACTATTCTCTCCAGTCCTACCACATTATATTTCACCGACGTACTTCGGCACCTTCCACAACAATACATGCTTCGTAAACGCGGTCAGCTGCTTCACCAGGGCCCCCATATTTAGCTGAATGTAAAGGGTTGATACCGCTATACATGACAGCACGATTACGGCCCAGTATACTTGAATAAAATTCCTTTATACTGGAGGACAGCACCGAGGTATGGATTAGAGAGAAGGAACGGTTCGGGGAGTACGTTTTGCACCGTCGTTCATAATTACACCTAATAAGCTTGCGTGTGTGTGTGTTACATGGTTGGGGGTGCGTGACCCCATACCTGTAAGACTACCCATACGAGCCGAGGGCCCAAGGGCAATACTACAACGCCTAAAAGCCACGGAGAAAAAGGAAAAAACACCGCACATCAGCCCAGACTAACGTCCAAAGGGGGTAATTGAGTTTCGGTGAGCCCACATACGTTCCAACATCCTCGCCAGACGTGCGGGTTCCCATTGCATGGCCTCCAACATACTCTGTTGATGATCGAATCCCTCTTCAGCACGAATATCATTATAGGCTGGGCATTCCAATAACACGTGTTTTTCATCCTCAATTCGGCTATTAGGACCACAACAGTGGCAAAGCCGCTGCCCCCTGGGGACATGGTACTTGCCCCTTCGTGCTCTGTTCGCCTCCAAAGCCCAGCAACATAAACGAAACTGCATTAGCTTACGATGTGCTAAACGAGGAATGAAAACCTTAGCATGTGTTGGCCACATGACGGCTGCGGCTCCCGAAAAGGGCAGCCCCATCCAGTGCTTATACTTCGCCATTTGCACTCCCGGTTGCTTCCCATCTGATGGGTACTCCTCTGGCAAGACAGTCAGACGCGTATGGTCCCAGCCGCTCATCAAACGCTCTCTTAGTGCCGTTATTATCGCTCCTTCTGGTAGAGGTCTACTCAACAACCAGTCAACACGCTCCTTTACCCCCACGACTTCTTGCGGTATTCCGCTCCAAATGTTGCACTCCAAGAAGGAAAACAGTCGTAACATTGAGATTCCCCAACCCTCCCATTCCGGGTTGGTCAGGGCATCGGTTATCTCCTGCCGTAAAACTGCATGAGCAATGGATCCCACTTGCTTTTGAAGGCGGTTCCAGAAACGGAGGATCTGCTTCACCATGTAATATTGTAAGGGGAGTTCAGCCAGCTCCGCGTACAACAGCCTGTGGGATGGCCGTGCCGTCTCCACTACCTGCCTCATGAATAAAATCTGCAGCTGGACTGCACTATCCTTCAAACAGGCTTCGAACATGCCCTCCGCAAGGTTGGCTTTATCCCGCCGCCTTCCCGCCCTGTCCACGACCTCTGCCAGCGCAAAAGGGCCCCACGCCTGGCAGCCATACAACAGAATTGCTCGGACTTGGGTTGCAAAACACCGCATTCGCACATCGGGGGCAAACAGCTTCATTTTGTCCAGCTTTGCGCTTAAGGAAAACATAGCGGACCGACCTGTATCACACAACTGCTGACGGCACGCACTAAAAGGCCGTTCTGGCCCATATACCA